TAATACAGAAAAGATTTATCGCAATAAACCCATAGCAATAAACAACAATAAAAAAAATTTTATGTGAAAAACCTTCCAATGTAGAGAAAAAAAATCATAGACCATCAAAAATAATTTTACTATCAAATAATGGATATACAAAGTTTTCCTCTAGCTAAAATTAAAGCTAATCAATAATTAGAGAGACAATTGGAGAAATCTCATCAAATAGGTAACTTAACAAATACACCTTGGATTTGTTTCTAAAGAGCTTCAAACTAGATCTTCATCATTCAGAATGTAAAACTCTAAATCATAAACCTACTGATAAAATTTTTGCTCAATTGGACCATGGATTGACTTTCTTTCAACCAACTATTCTTTCTTTCTTTTCTCTCTATTTTTTTAGCTTTTTTTTTCTTTTTCAGTGCACTTACTCATTGCCAAAAATACAACCCTCACTTCTTTTATTACGTAAAGCTTTCTTAGGGTCAAAGACAAAAGGCTTAGGGCCTTTTCATTGGCTAAACAATTAGGGTTAGACCTTACACATTCATAATAATCTTCCCTTCCAACCTCATTAGAAGGAAATTCATTACCATAACAGTTTTATTTGGAGCTTACTTGGTCAAAGAATCCATTCTAGTCAAGTTACTGCAGAGTTTAAGCTTTTTCTTGAAAAGTGTCTTAGTAAACATATTTGTTGCATTCTTATCAGTGTATACTTTTTTCAACTGCATCCGTTGTTTTTCAATCATTGAACGTAGTCAATGATATTAACATCAATGTGCTTTGTTCTAGCATGGTACATAATATTTTTACTCAAATCTAAAATACTCTAGTTAACACAAAATACCAAATACTCTTTCTGATTCAATCTTAATTCAAAAAAAAAATTTCATTTAAAGTATTTCTTTACTTGCTTCGGCTGTTATAATATACTCAACCTTTATAGTTGACAAAGTAACACACTTCTATAACTTAGACTGCCAAGATATAGCTCCTCCTACAAAAGTGAACAAATACCTTGAAATAGATTTTTTACTATCAAAATCACCTACCATGTCAATATTAGTAAACCTTTCTAGAACTGGTTGTGAAACTCCACAACTCAAGCACATTTTTTAGGTGCTTTTCAAATATCTAAAAATTTATTTCACTACTTTTCAATGAATTTTTCTCTGATTAAAAAAAATCTGCTCACTACACTAACTGCATGAACAATGTTAGGCCATGTGTAAACCATAAGATACATAAAAAAATCAATTGCAAAAGCATAAGAAATACTAGATATAGCTAGTTGTTCTTCTTTAGTCATCAAACAAGATTTCTTACTTAAATGAAAATGATTGGTAAGTGGACTGCTAACTAATTTAGCATGCTGCATGTTGAATCTACTAAACACCTATTTAATACACTTTTTCTATGATAACTACAGCTTTTTAGCTCTTTTATTCCAAATAATATCTACACCAAGAATCTATTTTATTGGATCTAAATCTTTTATGTCAAAAGACTTAGATAATTGTTCTTTTCACTTGTAAACTATACTAGCATCTTGTCCCATAATTAACATATCATCAACATATAATAAAAATAAATAAAGTTATTATCAAAATTTTTTTATATATATACAAGGATCTGCTGTCATTTTTTTATAGCTATGGTCCACCATAAAAGAATCAAACTTTTTATACCACTATCACGGAGCTTATTTCAAGCCATACAAGCTTTTCTTCAGTTTGTAAACAAAGTACTTTTTTCCTTTCACTTCAAAACTCTTAGGTTGATCCATATAAATGTAATCTTGTAAGTTACCATACAAGAATGCAGTCTTAACATCAAGTTACTTAAGCTCAAATATTCAAACTAGCTGTAATCCTAATACCACTCAAATGGAACTTATCTTTATAACTGGAGATCATATGTACCATTTTTCGTAATGACTCTATTTCTGCTTTTATTGTTTTTAACCAGTACTATCTATCATGAGTAGTCTACACATCTTGAAAGCTCTTTGACTCTCCCTCATCGGTAACTAAAATAAAATCTGAACTTGGATACTTGATGGATGGTATGTGCTCTCTGGTAAATCTCCTAGGCTAAGACTCTACACTGCCTGATGTCGAAGGTGGTTTCTCCTATTCAATACTCTCTGGTGGAAAGGACTGCTCACCCTGCTTAACACTCTCAAGTAGAAGATATTATTTTTTCTGCTCAAAACTAATTGCATCTAGCTCATTATTAACTATGGTTGGCTCATTCATATCTCTAAGTTCTGTTTTTTGTTCATTTTCACCATGTGTGGCTATATTTTATGAAAATTCTATCCGTATTAAAATATCACACTCAACAGTAGCCCATGTAATCTTCTTATTTTTCTCAGGTTGTTATAGTTTTTTTTTATGAAAGATCATATCTTCGCTTCTGACTATTTTTTTCTTCACCAGATCTCATACCTTGTATCTAAAATTTTCATCACCATATCCTATAAACACACATTGTGTGACTTTACTGTCAAGCTCTGACCTTTGCTTTTTCAGCATATGTATGAATGCTTTACACCTAAAAACTTTCAAGTGAGAGTATGAAATATTTTTCTCTGTCTACACTCTTTCTAGAATGTCAAAGCCCAAAGGAACTGATGGTGATCTGTTAAGAAAATAACAAGTTGTGTTGACTACTTCACCTAGAATGGCTTTGGTAATTTTACCATCCTCAACGTACATTTGACTTTTTTCATAATGGTGCGATTCATCCTTTCAGCTACACCATTATGCTACTATGTTTCAAGTTTTGTCATTTCATAATGAATCTCATATTTTGAACAATATTCTTCAAAGTCTTTGAATGTGTATTCTTCACCATTATTAGTTTGAATACATTTCAAGAGTAACTTTGTCATCCTTTCCACCATGACATGAAATTTTTGAAAGTATTGTAGTACCTAGCTTTTGTTTTTCAATATATACGCTCAAGTCTTACGTGAAGCATTATTAATAAAAGTAACAAAATACCTGCTATCATCCAATAACTCAATCTTAATGGGACCACATACATTAAAATGAATCAATTCCAATATGTTTTTTTTTCTTTAAGAACACTTATAAAAAGAAACTTTACGATGCTTGCCAAATAGACAATAATCATATAAATCAAGAAACATATCTTTGGTCAAGAAAATGAAAGACTACCTTATCAAAACCTGTAACCCATTCTTATTCATGTGTATTAGCCTTTTATGCTAAGTATTTGTTGAAGCATCATTCTCAATGGTATTTATCTTATTGCCATTCAATTGCATCCATGTCTTATACATTGTGCAGTATAGATTTTCTTTTGCAACTACCATAGATCTTTTGAGAAATTTTCACTGCGCATTCTTTTGTCAACTCTCATATCCTTCCTTATCAAGGACATTAATAGTAAGTAAGTTTATTCTCACATCTGGATGTATCTGACATCCCTCAAAGTAACATGTAGCCCGTACTAGTTTATACAATAATATCACTGATCCTAACAATTTATGATACACTCTTATTTTCTATCTTGGTGCAATCACTATGTGTACAAATCAAAATAACTGAATCACTATATAAATTCACTACTAAAACATTGCATCATCTAAACTCTTACCTTTTTTATTTTTTCACTCTTGCTTTAAGATTTTGCAGTATCATTTTAAATGATGTAGTTTACCATAATGAAAACACTTTACTCTATCTCTGGACTTGGATCTATCTCTAGACTTACTACGACCTTTTGATTTCTAACTTCTGTTAATGTTTCTATCTCTATTCTCTGTGACAAAAGCTTGATTCACAAGGTCTAAATCGTTTTGCTTTGCTTCTTCATTAAACATACTGTCTTTTACCATTTTCAATGTCACTTTATAATTAGGAGTTGAATTAAGAACAATCACAACTAGAGTATTTCAACTGTCGGGCAATAAACCTAAAAGAAATAATGCTTTCATTTCATCATCCATCTTAAGCTCCATAGTAATCATCTAATTAAATATATATTAAAAATCACTCAAGTACTTTGTAATTGAATCCCTGTACTATAAAGTTGTAAGCTTTTTAACAAACATAACTATATCCATCCCTATTTTTCTCTCATACAATGCTGTCAATTTTTTTCAAATAGTGTGGGCATCTGTCTTATGTGCTATATGATGGAACACACTGATATCAACTACTTTTTTTATTGTGGCTAGTGTCTTTCTACGCTTCTTCTTACTTTCATCTTTCATATCTGCTGGCTTAGCTAAATTACCTAATATTAGCTCATATAAATCTTTGCAGTATAAATGATCATTCATCACAGCTTTCAAATTGAATAGTTTGATATTGTTGATAAAATTTTAACTCAATTAAACCACAAATCAACTTTCGTTCAACTAACTCTCATTTCTTTCTTTTCTTTCTATTTTTCTTGACATTTTTGTCCCTTTTCAACACTCGCTTGTCACCAAAAACGCAGCTCTCACGTCTTTTATTACTGAGGGCTATCTTAGAATAAAAATGAAAAGACTTTGGATCTTTTAATTGGTTAAACAATTGGAGTTGGACCCCACACTTTTCTAACGAATCTAACGGTTGATAATCTTTTTAATATAAGTACAAACATAGCCGTACAAAAATACCTTATACTTTCCATTTTTCCTTTCCTTTTGAAAGTATGGGGTTTTACGAGGCAAAATAACATGTTGACATGGTTTTGAAAATTAAATACTAATGCACAAGAATTCCCTGAATTCCCTTTTTCTTATGAAATGAAATGACAAAAACAGATAATCCCAAAGCTTTTTTTTTTTTTTAAGACCTTCACATTCATATATATATATATATATATATATATGTATGTGCGCGCGTGCGTGGAATACAATAAACTCACACAAATAACAGAGCGAGATCTGCCAACATACATGATCAAGTCTATGCATTAAATAATACAAATCCAGATAATAAAGAGAAAACACTTGAATTAAAAAAGACCCTGAAAATAATATTGATCCACCAATATTAGTGTGTATGTGTGTAAACAATCACTGTTTTGTTTTTCAAGGTTTTGGTTTTGGTCTGACTTGTTAAATATTGTGCTTTTCCGTCCCTGCAGGTGCTATCTCTTGTGAGTGATCGCTGATGGAAGTTCCGTATTCGCTGCTCGCCCTATATTCCTGGCTTGACAGTACTATCTGTCTGAATTTCATCATGTCAGCATTGTATGAACTGTTGCTGTAGTCTGTGCTTGCGCCAGAGGAATAGATTGAACTTTGGCCTGGCTTGATGCCCTCATTCAGGTCATCCAGGGAAGAATCTCCTTCCAGGGCACGTACTATCTGCTTTCCATGATGATTTTATATATAAACACACTTATAAAATGTAATATCTTAGAAAGGCAAATTATGAAAGTTGGAGATCATTGCAAACCTGGCTCATTTTTGGGCGCTTTCTGGCTGAATGTCTGATGCTGGCAGCAGCACAGGCTACCATGCGTTGCATTTCATTATGGTTGTAGTTAAGCTCCAAGCGTTGATCAACCAGCTCATCATGGTTTCCATCCTCCAGTGCACGAGCCAAAAGTGGTCGAGCCTGTTCATAAAGTACATTTATTGGAAGGAACAGAACAACAGTGGCAGCATTCTTTCTATGGAAATATCTTGCAATGAAAGGAATTTATATTTGATACATTGCTCCGTATGATTCTTTTTACTATCAAGTAATTATACCCCATTTTGCTAAATCATAGTGATAAGATCTGATTTTTTGGCAATTAATGCATCAATTTAAACTCTAATGCAAGTATTAATTTTGGAGAATATAGAGGGGGAATAGGGTACGGACCCAATCTACTAAGCTGTCCTCCATTACATTAGTAGGATCAACAGGTTGCTTTCCAGTTATGAGTTCTAAGAGCATGACTCCAAATGAGAAAACATCAGATTTCTCTGTCAACTTGCCGCTTGAGGCATACTCCGGGGCCAAGTACCTACATTAGAACAAAAAGAAAAATCAAAACCATTAGCGGGTGGGTTCTGATTTCCACTTTCCTTTATGAAATATGTTTGAATTAACATCTTCTATTTATTTTCCAGTTTCAATCTTTCTTTTCCTCAAACACATTAATCACATAATGGCCATTCACTTTTGTGTCTAGATTCAGTTCCTTACCCAAATGTTCCCATCACACGAGTTGAGACATGAGTGTAGTTATCAGAAGACAGCTTAGCCAATCCAAAATCAGCCACCTATAAAAATAGTCTCGGTTAGTATTGCTAACATAGATATCCTGATCCGAGATAAATAATAACAGTAAACTTGGTAGTTTTTATATCATTGGATAATTGAATTTCAATGGTGTATTAAAGAAATGGATTTAATTTGAAGAGAAGATACCATGGCCTCAAAATTGTTGTCAAGGAGAATATTAGCTGCTTTGATATCACGATGAATAATGCGAGGATGGCCTGCATGCATAATTCAACAAAGAAATGAAAACCTTAACAAGAAATGGAGAGGCAGAGATATAGAAAGAAAGAGACAGGAAATTCCTTACAATCTTCGTGAAGATAAGCAAGCCCTTTGGCAGAACCTAATGCAATACGAAGTCTAGTGGAAAAATCCATGACTGGACGATCCTTTCCTGCGATGGAAAGTTGTAATGATTTTAGGAGTGCAGAACTTCAAGAATCATTGCTATAAGTAATTTTGTTAGTATTAGCCATCATAAGATACCAACATATTCTCCCCATTTTTGGAAATATTCCATTCGCAAAACTTAGATCATTGTTTGCTTAAATCTTTTCTAGAACAAATGTTCATCCTTTCTGGTTTGGTCGTTCTTTTTTTTCACAGCGAAAGTACCAAATGAACCAGGGTGAAAGAGTGCAAGCTTCAAATTTCTTTGTGCAATACCAAAGGAAAAGGATGATGAATGAAGCATAAAATTAATTTACCATGGAGATGATATTCCAAGGTTTTATTTGGAACGAATTCATACGCCAACATCCGCTGCGCGCCAGCAATACAATATCCAACAAGTGACACAAGATAGCGATGGTGGACACGGCTAATTATTTCAACTTCAGCCTGGAATTCTCTTTCTCCCTGTCCACTACCAATTTTTAAACTCTTAACTGCAACCTCCTTTCCATTTGGTAACACACCCTTGTGCACATATCCGAACCCACCTTGTCCAAGTAGATTGGCCTGAGAAAATCCGCCTGTAGCAGCTGCCAGCTCCTCATAAGTGAAAGTACTCTTGTTGAATCCAAGAGCAATAGTTGGTGGTGGAGGTGGCAAAGGAGGAGGATGTGGACCAGAGAAATCGGAGCTTGCTTCACCACTGAAAAATGGTGGTTGCATTGGGGATGGTGAACCCCAGCCACCACCACCACCAGGTGGTGGTGGAGGTGGGTGTACTTTGACAACATGGTCTGCCCCTTGAAAACCATTGCCCCACTGAGGATTCTGTGAGCTGTTATAATATTGATCACCACTGGCTGTGAATAATCCATACAATAGTAACAGATTTATAAGCCATATAAACATTTTACCGTTTCTCAAATCATAGAATGGATATCAAAGCTAGGTCCAAGATTCAAAAGAAGATAAATAATTGATCATGCATATTGATTTTCAAAGAGAACTTTATGGCAAGTATTTGTAAAATTCCAAGCTTTCTTTTCCAAAGTTTCATCAATGAAGAAAGACAGCATTCCAGATTAAAAACAAAGGCCATTGCCTCGGTAGCAGGAAAGAAGGGTATTCTTTATCACCTTTAGCTTCAGGAGGTTGGTAGTACTGCATTTGCGGGTGGCTTTTCTTCTTCTTCTTCTTTTGCTGAATGCATCTTGCTAAAAAGATGATAACAACAAGGAGCAGTAATCCTGCCCCCACAGCTATTCCTATAATGATTTTTACATCCGTGTTGTTGTCACTGGACGAATTTGTGGATGGTGTATTATCATCATCAGAAGAAAAAGTGTTTGAATTGGTACCACTACTTTTGGAAGGAGGTGGGGGAGAAGGGTTGCTGCTATTTTTAGGAGGTGGTGGAGGAGGAGGAGAATTAGTACTTTTATTAGGTGGTGGTGGTGGTGGTGATGATGATGATTGTTGTGGAGGTGGTGGGGATGGTGATGATGATGATGCTGATGACTGTGGTGAAGGTGGTGGGGATGGTGATAGTGGTGGTGGTGGTGGTGAGCTTTGAGGTGTTGATGATGGTGCTGTTGAGTTATCCTGTGATGAACTTGATGGTGCTGGTGAGCTATCTTGTGTTGAATTTGATGGCGGTGGATCAGGTGGGGAGTCTTGTGATGGAGAATTCTCAGGGGATGGTGCCATTTGCGAACTTCCAACCAAGAAACTCCACCCCTCCCTTATTTGCCAGGCTCAAACAACTGAAGAACCCTGAAGAAAATTGTGAGGTTTAAAGCAAGGAAATTTTTATAGATGCAGGCCATTTAAGATCATATATTGTGGCCAAGTATGATATGTTATACATTGATCTTATAAGATGAAATTCATGAATTGATCTTATGTTGCACTATTTGCTATTCAGTCATGATTGGAAAAACTTTTTGGTTAATGAATCAATAGATAAAAAAGGAAAAATTGCAAGAGAAAACAGGTACCTGAATGAATAATAGAAGGGTTCTCAAGGGAAAGAGAGAGAAAAGGTGTTGCATGGTAAAATTTCCATACTAGTAAGGGGACTCTGTCGTTCCCCGTTGGCTTCCTACAAAGCAGGACTTCGGGTTCTTTTTCTCCCAACTTCTTGGCTCTGCCACCCTTGATTCGTTTGAGTTGGTTACTCTTTTTTAGTTTTTTACTATTTCCTGCCTTGCCTTGGCCTTACTGAACCTGTTGCAAGCTATATTTTGTTTCAAAAAGAGACCTAAACAGTGAATATCAACTTCAACTACAAAAGTTGTCTCCAATATGTGCGCTTATTTTCACACTTGTAACAAACAAAACCTCACACAGACAGAATCACTGGCCAAATCTTACCACCCAAACGCGAAGGTAATACAGAAACAAAAATATTAATATTGAATGATTAAAAACTTTTATGGCTTTGAGAAGGAAAGCAAATCCAAGACAAGGTCTACACCTTATAAACAGAATTATTTGCTATTTTTCATTATGTAATCTCAGTTTTCCAAACACGTTTTCCCACGAGTTGTTTTTCTAGGAACATCATTAATTTTAATCCACAAAATGTTTACAAAAATAATTATCATGAATTCGATTATTGATTCCATCATAGACCATAAAAATTTTTGTGTCGGACCAACTAGGAAGATGAAATGTTCAAACTTGGACCGACTTGCCTATTATAACACTTGTAGGCTTGTATGATTCAAAAAATTGTCACATTTTGTTGCTCCATTTCTGTATCATAAAAGGGAATTCACACTGTCATGGACAAATGACACATGGAAGAAGAAACCACTCGTGCTGCAATCCATACTTTAAGAGCTAGAACTTCAGAAATTTTCAGTTTCAAGACCAAACTGAAAAAAAAAAAAAAAAAAAAAAAAGGTATCCTAAAAACAAATATCTTGTTTAAGAGAAAGTAAAGGTGAGGCTTGATTAAGCATGTACTTCAGTGACCTCACCATTTAACCAACAATAACACATTACATGACACTTTGAGAAAGACTGTCCAGACAATTAAGCCCTGTCTCGAACCAATGGATGCCTCACTGATACGAGGCTGTTCACATAGGGAAGATACCTAGTACATGCACCACCATCCGATGTGCATATCAGTTCCATCTTTTGTTCTCTCACATGATAAGCAATCACCTTCCTCCCAAGTGCAAGTATCAGAATGTCGTCATTAATGCAGGTCAAAGCCCTGCAGAAACCAAATTTGCTCCCCACATTATCACAGGTAAGATTGATTACAGACTTCAGGCTCATATCCATATTCCCGTGAATGTATATAGTGCAGTCATCATCTTGAAGATGAGGCAGAATGTAACACAACTCCCCATGCATCATAGTTAAAGCACCAAATTGACCACCGGTGAGAGGAAGTGGCAGAATCCCATATTGCTCATCGTTCAAATCAAAGGCAAGAATGACACCGGAAGAGGATTCCCAATAGACAACTCCCTTCATGTAGTATCCACCATTATGCAATTCCCAACTATCAAGCTCACAGCATATCGTGTCAGACACTCTCCAAGAGGTTGACCTCGATGAATAAATCTCAAAATAGACAACCGGATGATCAGGAAAAGTAACAGCACAGACAAGCTCATATGATTCATTAAATTTTAGTGGATGTGGCTCAAAAGCAAGTACAATGGCTGCCTCAGCTCCATGATACAAGCTTGGCTTAGGAAGCATTTTCCATTCCTTGGTCACAGGGTTGCAAATGTAGTAGACATTGTCCACAAAACTTTGGCAACAAAGCAGACCGTTGCAAGAGGTTCTGATATTGACAGGCTCAGGCAAGAACTTCAGAGATGGATCAGGAACGCCATAAGCATCTTTATTAAATGAGATGAAAGAAGGATTTAGACTAGCAACTTGACAAAAGAGACCAGTAATGTTTTTGAAGTAAGTAGTTTGCCTGTGGGCAAAAAATGGATTGCTTATCCACAGATCCCATCCTTTGGAAACTGTTCTGAATCTACAGAGTGATTTTGCAGGGAGAAAATGAAGAGCATGCTCCCTCAAAATATCTTCTAAAGATGCTTCCTTCTTCATGTTCATATGTTCCGGGGGTTTGGCGTAGTCCTCCGGACTCTTCTTAGCTGTGGACTTGCATGAGAATATTGGAAACTAAAATATAAGAACAGAAAGATATTCAGAAAGGTTACAAAGGAGCAGCAAACAAATTCCATCTCTCTTACTGTTTGAAAAATGCAGAAAATTTTATAAAAGGCCAATCTATCCGATCTATAAAAGATTTTATGGACTACAGAAGCCTAAGAACTTATTTCCATGAGAGATAAAGCAAGATGGGGTCACTTGTTTATTTTACTCATCAATGATCAAACAAACAAATTTTACTTCAAACTGTTCCAGACCTTTTAAATTACAAGACACAGCTTAAAGAAGATAACAGCACAAAAATACTATTGGCATTGCCATGTTCTCACTGTTAGAAGTTAGAACTAGAGTGAAAAAATTCCAAAATCATACCTCGTTAAAACTGTCATCACTATCCCACTTTAAATCATCTGTATCTTCAAGTAAGTAAAAGTCGTCTTCCATCGTTTTCTGATTATTACTCTCCAAATCTTCCATAACTGATTATCACTCTCGAAATCAGACATAATCCTGCAGGCACAAGTTTAATTAATCAGCAAAGAAAAACTGAAATTTGCAGATACAGCTTGGGATGTTATGATTTGTGACAAGACACTACAATTACACAGTAAGCTTGTAATTACCCTTGATTGAAACAAAAGATTTGAAGAGGTTTTATCAGAACAATTCAAATATGAATAATTCAGCCACCGTCACACCTTACAAACGGCATGGTTTACATTGCAAAGTATATAACAAAGAAAATGGACAAAAATGGAGATGATGTGGGAAAGTCAATCAAAACAAGTTTAAATCTGATTATGGAAATTGAGAAAGAATTAGCTAAGAAGTTACAATAAACTACTCTTCTTCTGATACAAACAAAATAAAACCAAATATATTTTTTTTGAAACGATATATTCAAGGAAAGATTAATCAATAGTGAAAAAAAAAATTGCAGTAAAAGTCAATTGTTTGGACCCACACAAGAAAACAGAACACGTAAAATAGAAACTTGGCACCAAATTTACGCTATATTCCACTTTTCCGGAAAATAATGGAAATTCAGTTGAAGAAAAATTTTCCTTTATTCTCATTTTCTTACTCGTTTCTCTTTTATTTTCTTAGCAAACAAACAGAGATAATCAAGAAAATAAACCCAAAAAGGAAAAAAAAAAAAAAAAAAAAAAGGTACAAAAGCAATTCAAGAAAATAGAAAATTAATTAAGCCAAGTCGATATATTTTGTGGGACGCACGGAAATAAACATGTTAAAGAGAAACAGAATCTCAAGCATGAAGTTTACAGTACTTTACACTTCATTTCGTTTTCTCAAACTAAATGGAAATTATATCGACGAAAAGCCTTTAAATTTTTTCGTACTCGTTCTCCTCTATTTTCTTAGCAAACAAACAGAGACAAGAAAAGAAACCAAACCTAAAACGTATTAAAGAAAACAGAGAGTGCAGAGGAAGGCGCTTTTCTCAGTCGTGTGTATAGAATGAAAAACCTAAAAAATAAATACAAAAATTTAAAAAAAAAAAAAAGAAAGAAGAAAACCTTAGGAAATTTGATCAGTTTTTCAAAGTTCTTCAAAAGGAGAGAGTGATAGAGCGGACTCTGGTTTTATTAAAGTCGTTTAAACGCAGTTGAGACATGAAAGTCTAAGACAGCATGTATATATAGGGGAGAGTAGAGACCGGGGCTTTACACGTGGCTTGTTCTTATTGGTGATAGGGGATAGATATAACTTCATTATTGGGATGATGACTAAGAACTTGCTTGGTAAGTGTTTTTATCAGGTCAATCATAAAATTTTGATTGGCTGCTTTCAGAATAAGTAGGAAAAAGATCAAAAAGAGTAAACTTGTGTGCCAACGTTTCTACTTTTCCTCGAATGCTATGCTTTGCTGGTAATTTTTGTTTTGTTTTTTTAAATTGCTTGGAATTAACACCAAATTTATTAGCAATAATTGTATAAATTAATTATTTAAATACATTTTAGAGTTAAATAAAAATTTGATAAGAAATTTACTGATCAAGATTAACTTATGATATTTTTAAATATATAAAAAAATTTACTAATAATGTTAATTAAATAAAAATTAATATTTAATATAATAAAATTAATTGACTTTTGAATCACTTGATATGAGATTGAAATTGGTACATTAAAATTACAAATTTCAAAAAATTTATATATAATAATGTCCTATTCATTCAAATTAAAAAAATTATCGTGATGGGACATTCAACATAAATTAGAGTAATATAATCTCTAATATATCACATTAGAAGTGCATATTTTTCAAGTAAATTTGGGATCATAGAAGTTGCTCCAGTCTCTAATCAAGATGTAAGCATAAAAAGTTTTTTTGATTGCATTAGAGACCAACTAGAGGAAAGTGAGCTTAGTTTATTTTTATTCTTTATTTATTTATTGGTAGTGAACTAATTGTTGGATAAATTAAAGTTGGTAATTCTATTTTTCAAATGCTAATATGAAGTCATCTTTAAATTCTTTACAGATCAACTTCCTTTTGAAATTTCTTTAGAGTATGCTTTTCCTAAAGTGAATCCCACCAAAACTGTTGATTTCGTCACCAAAACAGAAATGATATTCTATTACTACTAATATTTTTACCAAAACATAATTTTAAATGAATTTTATAACTTATAACTGGTGTTGCAAACATTAGAATGTGCCCAATACATAGGCTTCACTTTTAAAGCAGAACAGATGCAGAAATTCATAAGAAAAAGCCGAAGCACCTGTCAGATTAAATCAATTTTCTATCATAGGCAATCCTTACTACAAGCAGCCTAAAAGAAAAAAGAAAAAACATAAACATATACCAAAAGTTGCACTAATTTATATCTTCCTGATTATGATGAGCAGAGATTGTACATGATGTTCTTCTCAAGACCAGACAGTATCGCATTCGCAGGAGAAAAGAGGCTAGCTAGAGCTCAACAAGGCTATTCACATAACCAACGATTGCTGCATTTGTATCAATGTTAATTTCACCCAAATAATTGGAGGCCTTTTTCTTCATGTCATAAGAACAAAATATGTTCCCATTTTGAAGCAACACTACATCACCACCTACAAACACTACACCTCCGTGACCATGACCATGACCATGCCTACCTGAATAATTAGATGATTCTGCAGGCAGTGGAATATCTAGATTGTTTTCAGGTCGCATTTCTACCCAGGTCCTGGCATTACTGCACATTTGCATGGTATTTGAGTGAGTATTAGACAGCATATTCACAACTAATCCCTGACCACGTACATGAACTGCACAAAGCTTTCCATTTGTCATGCCTAAGGCCCCAGGTGCAGAAGAGAGGAGCTGAGACCGCTCCGAATTGAGATCAAAAGCAGTAATTCCTTGCCTCGACAGCCAATAAACAATGCCATTTACATGAACACCTGTCTTTGGCAGGAGCTTCCTATCAGCAAAGCAAATCTCACCAGAAGTTCTCCATGATCCTTTTTCAGAGGAATATATCTCAAACTCATATCCACCAAGTTCAGATGGAAAGGCACAAACCAGCTTATAATCAGCAAAGAAGTTTAGTAATGATGGTTCGAATACGAGCACTACAGCAGGGTCAGGCCCATGATCAGCATCTGGTTTTGGAAGTTTCTTCCAATGCTTGGTAACAGGATTGCAGATGTAGTAAGCCAGGTAACCAGAACGCCCCTGGCAACAAAGTAGCCCATTACAAGAGGTCCTAATATCAACAGGTTCAGGCAGAAACGATAAAGATGGGTCTGGAACACCATAAGCCATGGGGTCAAGAGACAAGAATGATGGCATGCCTGCTTGTGTTTGATAAAAGAACCCAGAGGTAGAACGGAATGAGTTTGTTTGATTGTGAGCAAATAAAGGTGTTGATATTTGAAGCTTCCAGTCACGACAAACTCCAGTGCACCGAAAAAGCGATTTAGCAGGAAGGTAAGGAAGTGCATTCTCCCTTATTACATCTTTTAGATCCATGTAAATCTTGCAGTTCTTGTTCCCATAGAAGTTAGTCAGCTTCTTTCCTCTATCCATTGAACTTGAACTTTCCCCACTTCTCACACTGCAGCCTAACCTCAACAATTTATCAGATCCTTCAACTGACAAAAATAAATAAGTAAATGAATAAAACCCTAAATAATCACCTACCGACATGAATGGCAAAAATCTGAGGCAAAGTTATCGATACTAAAAATATATGTTCATAAATGCTTAAAAACCTATTCACAGTTCAACGATGACTCAAGTTGGGATCACTACAAAATCTACCTTGAGAAATCAACAGGTGTCAGTATCATCAAAGTTTTTCCAAACGAATCCTTCATGCTAACAAACCTTCCCATTCTTACGTAGTACCAGAATTCCGTACACATCACCACACCCCCAATTTTACTTCACTGCATTCAATTTTTTTCCAGTATTTACAAGTGAAAATTTTTATTGCTGAAATCCGTATATTAAAAGACAAGAAGGTTTGAATGTTTGATCAACAAAAAGTTTCCCCTTTTACTTTCCCCCCTTTTTTTTTCTCAGCAACCAAACACATTGTAAATCAACCTAATCAAAACCTAAAACCTAAGAACTAAATTAAACAATCAGATCCTACTTGTGAAAAAGAAGAAACCAAAAACAGCAAACAAAAGAAATCAAAAGAAACAAAAGCTACATTAATTATAATTATAAAGCTTTAAAATTTATAAACAGAAGATCAATGATCGTAATTAACGAGATAATCAAAGACAAGACAGCGATTAAAAGAAGAGATTAGTGAGAAGCAATACCTTATATTTGTTTTTGTTTTGATATATTTGTTTGATCGACAAGGAGCTTTTTGATCGAGACTTTGGAGAGAAGTTTTCATCCTGTTTTGGGCCCTTTTATTTTTCTGGGTTATATATAGCAGATAAAATTAATAACGACCAGACCAGACCCTAACTTAACTGGAACTTGGAGTCTATGGGACTGTTTGGATATGCGGATTGCATAATTATTGCCGGAATTAGTATTTTTTCCTTCTCATTTCTTTAAATAAATAACTGTTTGGTAGATTTGTTCACACGCAGAGTTACTTATATCCGGTATATAGGTTTGAATAGGATACTAGAGATAAGTTTTGGAGTGCGCTTAGTCCAAGACAATTCATAAATTTATTTTTAAAATTTTGATAGTGGATATTTGATTTTTATATTTAATTTAAGATAATTTGATTATAAAAAAATATATTATATTTTTAATAGTATTCAAAATCTCAAAATTAAAAATTTACATTTTTTATGATATTTTAAAATTTTTGAGAAAAAAGTTACATTATTTCTTAATTTAACTTGAATAAAAAATTATCATAGAGTCATTGTTTTTTTGAAAAATATGTCTGGAAGTAACTAAAACTCAATTGCAAGTAAACCTAACAATTTGAAAGATGATATGATGACACAATACGAAAATGACACTAATAAAAAGCATGAAGATAACACAATTTAAAACTTCAAAAAAAAAACTATATATAGGTTTAATAAAACTAAAATTTTATATTTTATGTTTTCGTGTCGATATTAATTGTGATATGTGATTTTCATGTAAAACACGACACGAATATAGTATTTTATATGATACGATGACACGAATTATTGGTCTAATTGAAGGTTTTTGTTAGTGACATTTTTTTTATATTGCAATTAAGGTGTTTGGCATAAAGAAACACCTTAATTGATAATTTTATGATAAATCTTTTTTTATCTTAAAAACTATGTTATGACATGAATGATTGTCAGTCATAATATGATAAGTGTTCATCAATTAAGACATTTGTATGAAAAATGCCTTAATTAGTTATCAATTAAGACGTTTTTTCCTACAAATGCCATAATTGTCGCGTATTAAAATTTTATTTTTCCTTTCAAAAATTGTGTTCTGACAATATGAACATTATAATGTCTAATCATAAAGCAGAATAGCCCTTATTTTGTACATCAAATAAGGAATTTGTATATATGGAACGCCTTATTTGATGTTTTCATCGTGTTTCAATACTTAATACATTTTTAATTTTTATTTCAACATATCTCAACTCATAGCATTTACTTTTCTTTTTAAACCAATTTCAACTTTAACATCCATCATTTAATCTCTATCCTGTTACGTTTATCTTCATTTTTTATAAAAAATGATATGTATACTTTTTTATTAATCTTTTTATCTAATCTGCATTATTTGTTGCTTTTCAACTTTTTTTTTTCATATTTGTAGATGTTGTTTAGATCTAAATTTATGTTTCCAATATAATTGCTTTGTTTTATGATTTTTTTTATTTTAGCTCCTTCATCCAGAAATATTTTGTCGTTGATTTATATTTTCTTTGATGATGTTTGATAGATTCGATGTACCATATGCTAAGATTTGCTTTCCATTTATGTTTTCAAATTTTACGATATTTTGTTTTCTAAATAGTTATGGTTGGTTTATCATTAAGAATGAAAATGCAATTGGTTACATTACTTATGATACATTTAAACCAGATGAAAACTTTGTCGCATTTGTTATATTTTGTTGTGATAACTTTATTAAATATGAATATTAGAAAACGACGTAGATGATCTTATGGTAGAACAACTTATAATAAACTATATATTAGAGAGTTAAACATAAATGCAATGATCTCTGAGAGCTATAAATATTGCGTAGATAATACTAGAATGGACAGAATAGCTTTTGTAAAATTATGTCATTTGCTTAAAACAAAAAAGGTTTATAGTCATCTAAGCATATGTCAATAGAGGAACTAGTTATTAACTTCCTCCACCTCATTGCCCATCATACAAAAAATAAGGTTGTGAAGCTTCAAGTGGCCAGACTTAAGAGATGATTAGTAGACAATTCCATTATGTGTTGAATTCTATTTTAAGATTGCATATATTATCGTTTAAAAAACCCAAACCAATACTAAAAAATTTTACAGATAATAGATAAAAATGGTTCAACAATTATTTGAGTACCTTATATGGGACATATATTAAAGTCAATGTAGATGCAATAGACAAACCTAGATACAAGACTAGGAAAAATGAAATTGCTATCAATGTCCTTGGTGTTTGCATCTCAGATATGCAATTCATATATGTTCTACCGGGATATAAAGGTTTTGTAGCAAACGGTAGATTGCTAAGGGATGCCATTACACGTAGAAATAGGTTGAGGATCCCATAAATTATTATTTATATTATGTTCATTTTATATTATTAATGAAACACCTTTTTTTTCATATTATTAATGTTATTGATTGGATAATAGGTAATTATTATTTATGTGATGCCAGGTACACAAATGAGAAAAGATTTTTGACATCTTATAAAGGTCAACAATACCCTCTTAGTGATTGAAGGACAGGACTCCAACTAACAACCCTACAAGATTACTTCAATATAAAATACTCTCAAGTAAGAAATTATATCAAAAAATATTTTGGTATATTAAAAGCTAGATGGGTAATTTTAATAGAGAAGTCATTTTATTCTATAAAGACAGTGTAGAATCATTTCTACTTATTATCTTCTCCATAAATTTGTTAAGTCTGAAATGGCTCTAGCCCTTATAGAAGGTGATGTTGCTAAAGAAAATATTAGCTAACCAGATGATTCTAAATATCAAATTTTGATTACGCATGTTGAGACATCTGATTATTGGACTCAGTTTAAAGATAATTTGACTAATAAGATGTTCACCCATTGGTTGCAATCTCGAGGATAATAACATTATAGAAATGTTTTGTATGCTACAACATTTACTCAATGGTTTTTATTGTATGTACAATATGGTTAAATGTAGAATTTACTTTACATCAATGTTGAATATATTATAATTTGGCGTACACACTTCTTTGTTTTCTTTCAATGTGTATTTGTTTATTTAATTCTTTTAATAGTTTTTTAATTTACTATATTGATATTGTTGCATAATGTTTAATTATGTGATTAGGAATTGAACATGTTTTCATCGTATGCCAATCCATCTCAATTGGCCTAAGGCCTACCTAAAAAAGGAAATGAAAGTTCAGGTTTATGTAACCATTCATAGACTTAGTATGAGAATTCCTATCTTGTTCAATGTCTACATTCTTTGCTTGAAAATCCTAGATGAAGAACGGATAATAGGACATTTTGTGTTGGATATCTAGGTTATATTAAATGCATGCTGCAGTAACTCATTTTTCTTTCATAATTTAAAGCCACCCCCACATAGAATCCAAGGTTAAGTTGCTCAATAGACAATATTATACAATTTGTGAAATGAAAAATTCTAGTGGATTTGGTGAGAATGATCAAGAAAAATGTATCATAACTAAGAAAGAAGTTTTTGATGAGTGGATTCAGTTAAGTTTTTTAAGATTACATTATGGCTTACTTTACTTATTTACTTTTTCTTATGGGGTTTTGTTTGATTCGTATTTGTTTAAACTTTTGGCAAGTACATCCATATGCTAAAGGGTTAAAGAACAAACCTTTCCCATTTTTTGAAGATTATAAAGTGATTTTTGGATCTGATAGAGGAATTGGTCAAAGAGTCGAAATAGCTACCGATGCAGTTGAATCATTGAATGCTAATGAGGATGCTTACTTCTCTCCAGAGTTTGATATACCGAAAGAAATGTAGATAGAGGAAACGATGAAAAAAAAATTAGTTTTATTGTTTTGAACAATGCTAGGATGATATTGTTAGGCAATAAGCATTCTAGGAGTGATGATGGACTATAAAATGAATCTCTTCTATCCCATTTAGGGTTATGACATGTATATCTATATCATGAGAGAGTATAAGTATATTTACACATAGCTAAATATACAACTATTGATAAGATATTTTAATACATCCCCTCAAGTGATGGGGGAGAACTCTACAAGAGCTTATTCTTAAATGGATGAAAAATTAAGGAAAAAAGTCCCTTGGTAAATATATCAGCCAGTTGTGATTAAAACAAACAAAAAAGACTTGAAAAAATGTTTGCAAACAAAGTCTTGAATAAAGTGATATGAGGTCTCTATATGCTATATACGAGCATGAAAGATTAGATTGGCAGCAAGTTAAGCAGCACCCATATTGCCAAAATATACAGAACAAGGTAGTACAAGAGGAAATCCAACTTCATCAATATATAAGAAATCAAAAGTAAATCTCTAAAAGCTATAGAAAAAGCCATATACTCTACTTCAATACTAGATTGAGTAACAGAAACTTGGTTTTTAGTACACCAAAAAATAGGATTGGAACCTAAGAAAATACAATGACCCATTGTAGAACGTCTAGTGTGTGGACAACTAGCCAATTAGCATTAACATAGCATACCAGATTCGGTGTAGTTCAAAGAAATAATCGAATACCATAATTTATAATTTCTTTAAGATATCTCTATATTCATTTCAGAGCCTGAAAGTGAATATCACGAGGTGCATACATAAATTAACAGACTTGTTGCATAGCATAGGTAATGTTAGGTCTAGTAAAGGTAAGATAGTACGAAGCTTCAATAATAGTGTAACATTGTGATGCGTTTAAAAATAAAGTTTTATCATATAGAGAAAGCTTCTTACCAATAGTTACTATAGTAGAAGTAGGTTTGCAATTTTTCATACCCAACATGAAAGTAGAGATAACATCTTTGTTTGTGTCAACAATAAATGTTTAGGTATACGATGTGCCTTTATTCTAATAAACTAATGAAGAAAACTAAGATTTTTCATTGAAAACTACTAAGAAAGCTGTGAAATGAATGAATGAATAACACTTACTGAAGAGCCTATGATAATGACGTCATTCACATAAAGTAAAAGTAACATCATGTCAGATGAGAAATGCCATATGAACATAGAAAGTTTTACTTGACTACTTTTGAAACTAAAGACATGAAGAGCATAACTAAATATTTGAAACCAAGCTCGTGGATCTTGGTGAAGACCATAAAGAGTGCAATGTAATTTACAAACATGATAAAAATGATTAGGGTCTATAAACCCTGATGCTTATGCCATATAAACTTTTTCATGCAACTTACCATGTA